ATTTTGAACATTTTGATTTAAATTTTGATTTAAATTTTGATTTGTTGAATAATAACCATCATCGATACTTTCATAATTATCAGAATTCGTTGTTGTTGAAGATGTTGATTTCGTTGACGTAGTTGATGTGGTTGATGCTGGAGATACCACATGACCATCAGGTTCAGGATTTAACAAGGCCGATATAGGAACAACCGAAGGTCGATTAACGGAATTTGCTCGCGAAGAGGTCGACGTAGAGTACTGATCATATACACTTGTCATTTCGTGATTAACTAGATACGTATCGAATATTTATTTGTGATTAAATGAAAGAAAAAGACACGAACAAATGGGGACGATAAAAAGTGAATTGAAGACGGGCATTATAGAATTCAACATTTCGTGAAAGGTGTTATTTCAACACTTACGCGAAAAAAAGTTGATTTATAAGGATAATAATGATAAAATTCACAAGAATTTTACTCACTTTATTTTTATTTTTTTTATTTTATTTTATTTATTTATTTTTTTTTTTTTTTTTAGTGATTCAGACCTAACCAGACCGGTTAACTTGAGGGTCGGTTTTTTTTTTTTTTTAAATAAAAAAAAAGAAACACGAAAAGCCAAACGAGAAAACACCAAAAAAATCACCAAGGAAAAAGGGAATAGCACAGAAATAGAGCGGTTCGTTCAAGTGTATTCAAGAAAAAAAAAAAAAAAAAAAAAAAAAAAAAAAAGAAAAAATAGAGAAATAGTAGTAATATAATATAAAAAAAAGAGGTCGGAACCGAACGAATAGTAGGAAAAAAAAAATATCCAACAAAGGCACAGGATATTTTAGTTGGAAAAGTTGTGTAGCAATCAAACGGGCCCAGTTTTACAACGGTAAATTAAGAATATAATAATAACACAGACATTCAAAAAGAAAATTGATCCCGAACAAGCAAAAGTTTAATGGATTTAATGGAAGAGAAAATAAAAAAAAGGGCAGGGCACTTTTTTTTTAGGAAATAGGTTCAGATGTTAAAGTAGGGCCTACACATGCGGTGTGACCATAAACAAAGAAAGGGAAATTGAAAAGAGGTAAATCGGCAAAAAGAGGAAAAGTAAAGATTAAATATATAAACATATGATAAATCAGATATGTAATTTACACATATTATTTCTAATCAACTATGAAAATTTATTTATATACAGTTTATATTATAAGAATAAATAAAATCAATCAATAATAAAATCAATAATAAATCGCACACTAAAATAGACTAGATTGAGGCAGAGCGAAACAACAACATACAAGATGATTACTAGACAAGTGGCTTTCATTTAAGTATTAACGATTTAAAAAAGATATATTAAAGAAAGTGGCAACAATCAGTAACAATCGTGAAAAACAGTTTCACTGAACCCAAAATAGACAAGTGATGATGTATTTTGTATTACGTATTAAAGAAAAGATTAGACCTTATTAGGATTTCATGATATATTAAATTATCAAATTGGTTTATTCAATAAGTAGAATTAAATGACATCTAATGATATTTTTAATTACCATAACTTTAGTAGTGGAGAATCAAATTTAATCAAATTTAATCAAATTTAAAAGCATAGACTAACCGAAATTAAACAGACGCACATAAGAAAGATAAATAAGTAGGTAAGTTAAAAGTGCGATAAGTAAGTGCGAAGTTAAGTGCGATAAGTTAGTAATATATAATAATATTATATATACAGTTTAAGTAATAAGTATAAGTAATAAGTATCATTATTAACAACAAGTAAGAGTATA